TGAAAGAGACAGCCAGAAAAATACATTGCCCTTGTAAAAGCATTGTTAATCTTCTTCTGATTTTTGGCAAACATTAAAAAATGCTTGCTTATTATTATTTACCTCATTTGAAATTAATTAATTAGTTTGTTCTTGAGATAGAGTCTCATGTTTGCCCAGGCTGGCCTAAAATTCTGTATGTAGCAGTGTTAAAGTGATCCTTCTGTGTCCAGTCAGTAGATGGAACATGTACTGCCGTGTTCAGTTTTATATGGTGCTGGGGATGGGAACTGAGGCTTCCTGCTTCGTACACAGGCACTCTACCAATTGAGCTGCATCCCCAGCCCTTCTTCTTACTGATTTTGGACCCTGCTGTTTATGGTATATGGTTAGTTATGAGCAGTTGTTAAGTCACCCTTCCTGATGATCAGTTACTGTGGAAATACCAACTGCAGACTCACCTTCTGAAGTGTTTTTTATTAACTTGGTTATCCCCATATCATTTGAGGGATTATTTAAACACTTGGAGAACATCACATGCATGTTAAAGATCTATTTTTGCTGTCACTTCCATTTGGATGATAAGGCTTATAAATGTCATACACTTTACATTTTTCCCAATTCTTCTATTTTCAAATTCTTGGTTTCCTTTTTTTCCCCACTCTTCGCGTGTGTATATATTGGACTTTTTTCTAAAGCACTTGGAGGCAGCTTATCGAGATTCAGAGAGTGTATAACGGGGTTATAAATGAACCACACATTTAATAACTAGGAAATACAGATGGCAAAGATTTAGTGGCAGTAGTTAAGCTGGCTCCTGTCTTCCCATTGTCCCCATCTATGTTTAGCTAAACATAGGCCGGCCGGTCCTGCATCACAGGAAACTCCTTAAGCCATCAGGGCCCATGGTTGTGTCACATGAACCTTCTCCAGGAACAGGTGAACAAGCTTCCAGGGTCAACTCTATGCCTTTAAGGCTGAGCCAGGCGCTAATCCTTGCAGTGAGTAACCAATATGGAGACATTCCCCTGCAGACAAAGAAATGAGACACTGACCAGTAGGTACCCTGGGTTACTTTTTAGTATACTATTACATGCTAGACCTGCAAGGGGGTGGGTAAACCTCCCTTTGCTTTTCTCACACTGTTCCTAAGCAGAGAGTGGTATTAATATCATTTTACAGGAAGGAGAAAGTGAGGCTCAAAAAAGGTTGAGTACCCTGCCAGGGTAGTCAGGGAGCTGAGTGTGGGGCAGGCTGACTTCAAAGCTGAGATCCTCCTGCCTCTGATCACAGGAATGCATCAGTATGCCGGAAGGTGCAGTTCTTACAGTTTTTGGAGGATCAGATTCTTGTAGCTGTAGTTCCTCTTTGTATAGTACTATTTACAGAAGAAAAAAATTAGAAGGGGGAGACTAAAGATCGTATATCAATACAACACAACCCCTCATCAATACTACATTAATTTTTCTGTTTGGCACTGGGAGATTTCCCCCTCTAAATTCTCTGTAAACTTTATGCACATTTTTATATTTCCCACCAAATTGAAGGGGCCTGTGTCAGATTGGCAGTGTAGCTCAGTTGCTAGAGTGCTTGTCTAGTGTGCACACGAAAGGCCTGGTTTCCATTCCTGCCACCGTCCCAAATGGCCCCAGCAGAGAGTTCTTGCTGTGACCTCTGCTTCAGGGTTGCCCTGTCTTAGGTTGGCTTTACTCCTTAGAAACTTGGCCTGTGATTGATGCATTCCAGTGAAGCTGCCTCAGCAGATTTGAGCCCATACCATGGCTTGGTTTGCGCTTGATGACACAGGTAAGTCCTTGCCACTGACTCTGGGGAGCCACTGGGTTTGTCTGTAACTACGACTCTGGCACATGTGCTGCCTGAGTGTGCCCTCTGTTCTCCATCCCTGTGGATGATTTTTGCTTTTTTCCTGTCCTAGTGAGGCCTAACCGTTTGAATATTGCCATCTCCCCCACTTCCATCTCTGATCCCTGCTCCTCCCCTCAGTTTGGGCTCTACTAGGCAGCCTCTCTTCCTCCCTGGCCCTCGTAGCAGCCTTTGTATTTGTTCCTTCACCTTCTGCCTTGTGACACTTTGCTGACCTCCAAGCTCAATTGAAATTTGAAATTTTGCCACTCAAAGCTGGGTTCCTAGTGCTCCAGCATATGAATTGCTGGGAAGCCTGCTAATTGCTGGGAAGCCTGCTAGAAGGTACTCTAGGCTTTACCTCAGAATATCTGGTGGACCCCGGGCATTTCCACACTGCCCATGTGACCCAGTTAAGGGAATCAGAACTGGATCTTTCTGTAGGAAGAATTGGATACCAAGTTTTCATTATGTCAGTTTGCCCATCCTTGGGCATTAGTTACCTTTTGAGAAAAGAACAAATGACTGCTTTTTAATAAATGTCTTTCCTAATTATATGAATGAACTTGCGGCATTGGGGGAAGCTTGGATACTTTAACTGGTAACATGGTTAGGAAGAAATTCAAATAGCAGCCTCACCACTGTTTTGAAAAGTAGACTTTCTTCCCTTCCTCCCGCCCATCTCTCCCTCCCTCCCTCTCTCTCTTGCTGATAATTATACCTGTACTCTCAATAGATATATACCAGCTCTAAAGAGGGACTAATTTTGGAAAGAATATTTGATTCAGCAAATATAGTTTTCAAGTTTTTACTGTGTTATACCTTGCTAGAAAGGCAGCTAAACCAAATGCTAATATATAAATGAAGGTACAGATAGGCCTGTAGAGGACCTCCTTTCTTCTTGTAAGTGTATTTCTTTCTCATTTTAGTGTCTTTGATAGTGCAGGAAACAACTGATAACTCCAGTGGCTGTGTTTTCATCATGCCTTAGGCTTATGAGGCCCCTGTTACATGGGGAAACTATGAGGCAACCCAGATTAGACAAGAGTATGGAGAGTATGAGATATGAACCCCAAAACTAATTGGTGAATGACTGTGGTGTTGCATGGTAGAAGCATGTGAGGCTGTGAGGCTCAGACTGATGGGACTCTTCCCCCACTACCCACCCGTTTGGTCTGCCTTTATGCTTCTGGTGTGGTTGTGTTGGTAGGAACCTGATCTATGATGAGCTCTATCCAGTTTTTAGAATTCTGTAATCTATGCAGACACACACACACACACACACACACACACACACACACACACACACACAAGACGGGGGGGGGGGAGGGAGATTGCAATGTCAGAGCTCCTGATACTCTTGGTGTAAGGTGTGATATCATGGCCACTTATGTGCAGAGGGCTAAAAATGATAATTTTCTTCAAGGCAAAAACAATTTCCTTACTTGTGAACATTGGTTATGCATTGTGCATTTTGGTTGATAGTCCAAAAGATTGGTGATAGGAAGCCATGGAGGCATTCATTATTATGAATGTATGGTGATAATCCCGAGTATTGTCTGCAGTCAAGATACTCTGTTTCCATGTTGTATCAGTTGGATCCTACCTCATGCTTCAGGCTAAGTTGGAGAGGTATCCCATTGCCCATCACACACTGTTGACTTGGAAAAGGGAGTGCCCAGGGATGTATTCAGTTTTTCCTCTAGAAGCATTTCATGGCAAAAGAACCTGATATCAGAAACAGATGACTTGGGACCTTAGGTCTCAGATCTTGGTCCAAGATCTTGTCAGACCTATATAAAATGAGCTGACTGGCTGAGGGGGATGAGGATGGGGAAAAGGTCTGCATAGGATAAAAAGAAAATAGAGAGAAGTCCATGAGTTTCTTAGGATCTTGCTCCAGGAAGAGCTTTAAATATGTGTAGGTATTAAGGTATGTGCCTGTTACATGTTACTATATTTTGGCCAAGTTATTTGAGGTGCATAATATTTTTGGTAATTTGAGGATTAGATAATACTGGATATGTACACTAGTAGGCCAAACTGGAAAGTGCTAGTTGGGCAGCTGAGTTAACTGAAGTTAACTAGAAGCACATAACAGAATGTACATGTGGTTGAATGCCTAGATGCTCCTTTCTTTCATAATGAGTGCGCAGCAGCATGTGTGAGGCTGCTTTGGTGACCAAGGGCATGCTTTTGCTATTGGACAGCACCGTGAAATGAAAGGGCACCTCAACTTGATGGACTACGCATTTATGGTCATGACTTTAAACACTAAAAGAAAACCCACTGTAGGAGCACTGCAGGAAAATGAGCTTCATTGAAGATTTTCACGTGTTTCATTGAAAAGCTTTGTCATTTTATATAATCACATAAACTTTGTTCTCTGTCCCAGTCTGACCAACTGAACTGCAAAGCATTGGTTTTCTGCTATTTTAGCTAAGTGGACGGTTAATGTACTGTAGGCCATAGAGTCTGTCTCCAATGCCAGTATCTCTTTCAGAGTGAGACATTGTATCTGATGTTTCCCAAGCTTGTTTTACTTTGCCCATCCCCCTTCCCCTTTTTTTTTCTGGAGGAATATCTACTGAGGCATAGTTTGTGAAGCGATAGGCTTTCCTCATTTAGCACACTGCAGCAACAGAGGCAGTTTTGTCGTTTCCTTTTGGATGTGGGTGGAGATGTGACCCACTAGAGTTGAAACTGTTCAGGGGGACCCAGTTCTCCTTGTAGCCTGCCCAGACTCATCTGTCTCTGATGAGGCCTTCTGTTCAGGCAAGCAGCCTTTTGTTCCGTGTTGCAGGGCTCTTGACTGGCAGTATGAGGGTTACCTGGGTAACACACTGGGCTGAAGCTCCTCTGTCCTGTGGTTGGCAAGAGAAATGCATACCCGAGCAGTCTGACCCAAGCATTCCTCTATCCAGCTCCCGTGTGTCCTGCAGGGTCTTCTGAAAAGCTGCAGATCACTCTCTGGGGACAATTTCCTCCTCACCCAGGTTTTGAGGGCCTTTTCTTCTCTGAGGAGGAGAATGCTGGGAGAACTGTAATTTCTTGGGGGCCATTGTATCAGTAGCCTGCCAACCAAAGGGAGGGACGCAGGGTAGGCTGGCTACAGTTGTGTATCATGTCGTTCTTTCTTCTTCTTTTATTAATTACAGAAAGAAATTCAGGCCATGAGTCAGTGCAGCCACCCCAACGTAGTGACTTATTACACTTCCTTTGTGGTCAAAGATGAACTTTGGCTGGTCATGAAATTACTAAGTGGAGGTAAGTGAGTTTCATTGTTGCTTATTTTTGTTTTCCCTTGCTTTGTGGGAGTTATCATACTGAAGAAGGATTTTAGTCCCTGGTTTGAAAGACCAAATTTCTTTTTTTTTTTTTTTTCCGGTTTTCAAGACAGGGTTTCTCTGTGTAACAGCCCTAGCTGTCCTCACTCTATAGACCAAGTTGGCTTTGAACTCACAAAGATCTGCCTGCCTCTGCCTCTTGAGTGCTGGGATTAAAGGTATGTGCCACCACCACCCCCTGGCAAGGGGCCAAATTTCTTAATAATTCAAAGTCTTTCATAATTGGGTTTAATGTCCTAGAGTTTCTGTGTCCCTTCCTCTGTGTAGCCAGTGTCCCCACCTTCTGGGTTAGGTGATTCCTGTTGCCCTAAGTTTCATATGTTCTCAGAGACCTCCAGCCCTTCCCTGTCCTGTGACTGGCTTCTGCCTTAGATGTCTCTCCTTTCCCCACACAATCCCATTCTCTCTGTAGCCACCGTGTGTGTGTGTGTGTGTGTGCGTGTGTGTGTGTGTGTGTGTGTGTGTGTGTGTGTGTGTTGCTAAGGATCAAACCCAGGGCATGTCAGACAAATCCTCTAGCACCAAGCTACACCTCAGCCCAGTCCTTCCTCTGTCAAGTCCTTTAAACACAACTCAAGTCCTTAGCATGTTGCAGTCTGTGACAAGGGAGGAGTGCTATGGACTCTTGAGCACCTGCATGGTGGCTGGTGGGGTGCAGTCTGAGTTTCTGCCTGCTGTTTCTTCACATTTGATACTGGTCAGTGCAGAAACTGTGGACTCCCTGAGGAGAAAACCACCCACCGAGCTTGACTCAATGAACCGGACATCCCGTGACTGCTTGCTACACTTTGTCACAGTTTACATGGAGAGACGTGATGGCCACTTCATTGGTGTTCAGTGTTCAGGCATCATTCTCACTCTGTTGCTTTTGGGAAGAGATCTCTCAAGCTAGTGATAATTTACTTTTGAAGGCTTTTTCACATCCATGATTTTATTTGAAAAAAACGAACGAACAAACAAACAAACAACCCTAACCCCTCAATATCAGCAGCAGAGAGGGAATGAAAATGATAACCACTAACATCCTTGGACACTTACTCCGTGGCTCGATCCTGTTCAAGACAGTTCACTTACTTATCTCATTCCATCTCGGCATCCTCCATGTTTTCCCCATCCCCATCCTGCAGAAACTTCCCTGAAGCTCACGGGACTTAGGCCGTGTGGCCCAGGTCTCTAACTCTCAGGCACACTCAACTATTGGTACTAGAGGAAAACGCTGCTTTAAAAACTGTGCCACATTCCCGGTGTTCTCTCTGTTTTCCAGTCCTGGACATTGAAGCTTAGAAAGCCTGTGTGGTTTCCTCAGAAGGCCTACATTCTCTCCGTGCTGTCTCTCTCTGGTGGCGCTCCTTGTATGACGCTCTGAGCATGAAGGGTATCCTAGAGAGCCCAAACTAGTGTGGTTGGATCTTTAGACCAGATTCCAGCTAAGACTAAATTAGAAATGTAGTTTAATTAATTGTTATTATTACTTTTTTTTTTTAAAAGAAACCCTCTTGTATCAAGCAGAGGCCCATACATGAGATGCCAAGTCTCTGTAGTTGATTTGAGTGTACATGGGTGGATCTTCTAGACACATGTCTCTGCTCTCTTAGTCCTCCTCAGACCTGTTTTCTTAAGTAAGCTCTTTAGTTTGTAATGAAAAGGAAGAAGGAAAGGCAGAGGAAGACCATAGAGCCACACTTAACACTGACCTCCACAGTGCTCCCTTCTTCCAGTAACTCTGGTGCGGTGTCAATAAGACGATCTTAACCAGTTGAGGCCGAGAGTTTTATCTTAGGGGTTCGGCTACCTGTGAGAAAGCGGTGAGTTCTGGTGACCTGGACCCTAGAAGTCTCAGATGCTCTGTTGCAGTTAAAGAGTTCACCTCAGTTAGCCTTTCACTTTCCTGAACTTGAGAACATCCCCGGTTTCTTTTTTGAGGACCAGATAGAAAATGCATTGTCTGTTTGAGAGTCCAGTCTAGTCTCCAAACAGGGCTTTTGAAAGGTAAGATAATAGGTTTCCAGCAAGCTTACCCAGGAAAGGGAAATGTAGCCAGATAAGGAGTCTTGTTCATTTTCTTTCAGAAGGCTAGAAATTTGTATCTGCTGGGTAGGTCATATACTTTTAAGAATGAAGCAAGTGATGTTTAGAGTCATTATTTTTTCTAAATGACCTGAAAGTGTAAGAGTTGATACATAGACAGATGCGTTCCCCTGTCTGCAGAGGGAAATTTGCATTTATTTTTTCCTCTATAATGTTTGACCACATTGAACCCCCTAATGAGGGGCAGGCAGCTAGCTAGTTTGGTGCAATAACAACTGTACCAATCCTCTTAGTTAATCATAAAGAGCCTAGAGCCAAACTCAAGTCCTGAGGTAAGCCATTTGTTAACTCTTCAGAAATGTTGAATCTCCAGGTAATTATAGCTTTAAAAATGACCCAGAGGTGTAGAATATTAATTACTATGTGTTGAAACACGAATTCATCGTGCCTAGGATACCAATCTCTATATAGTAACAAAGCACTTATGGATTTATTTATTTATTAGAAAAGCCTGTGCATAAAGCATAAAATGAAAATCAAAGTTGCTTAGAGTCTCACAAAGGAATCTTGGGGTTATGGGCAGTGGTGTGGAGGTGCCATGCTGGGCAGGGTGTGGAGGTGCCATGCTGGGCAGGGTGTGGAGGTGCCATGCTGGGCAGGGTGTGGCGGCGCCTTGCTTGCCCTGCCTCCCACCCTTGACGTAGGTCATAGGAAGGGCTGCCACTCTTCCCTCTTGGTTCTCTGCCGTCTCTCCTCTCCCCCTGAACAATGTTTGGTTCTTCACTTCACTTGTTTACTTCTTTAAAAAATATGTCTTCATACCTTGTGGTAGATATATTTATCTTATTATTACTTTAAAAACGGTGTTGTCCAAGTTGTTTCTGAACTCCTGGACTCAAGACCTCCTTCCATTCCAGGTGCCTCCTGAGCACCTGGGGACCACACCCAGTTTTTAAATCTTAGTTGTTATTATTATGATTATTATTGCACGCGTGTGTGTGTGTGTGTGTGTGTGTGTGTGTGTGTGTGTGTGTGCGCGCGCGTGCGTGTGTGTTGCCCTTAGCACAGACATGCATGTGGAGGTCAGAAGACCTTGCAGTGATCACATCTTTCTTTCTACCACATGAGTCCCGATGAACAAAATGACGTGGTCAGGCTTGGTAGCAAGTGCCCTTACTGTCGAGATAGCTTACTACCCCTCATCCCCAGTACGCTTTGAAATTAAAAAAAAAAAAATGTGCTAGGAATCCATCCTTGGCCCTTTGTAGTAATCAAGATTCTCTAGGAGAACAGAAATATTGGGGGATGGTATATGTTTTAAACACATATGTGTAATTACGAAAGGAGCATTGGCTTAAATGATTGGAGACTAAATGGTCCATCGATGGCTGTTTGTACAGTGGAGAGGCGGAGGACCTGGCAGCTGGTCAGTCCATGAAGCCAGAAGCCTTAGACACGGGGGGGGGGGGGGGGGGGGGGGGGGGGGGGGGCGTTGATGCAGCCTCCTTCTGAGGCTGGAGACCTGGAGGCTCCATGCCGAGTCACTGGTGCCCGTCTACACTGAAAGGCTGGTGTCTGTGGGGACAACAGCTGCAATAGAGCCACTCCCCCAGCAAGCAGATCTTACACACGTTAGCGGCTTCTCTCTTTTCCACATTCAGTCTATCTGGGACCCCAGCCTATTTGATGATGCTGCCCGTAACCGGGGCAGGTAGGTCTTTGTCCCTAAGTTACTTCTCTGGAAATGCCCTCACAGATACGGCAGAAGTGCACTTTACTCACTCTTAGGAGTTTCTCAGGACAGTGGGGTTGATAATGAGTTTTAATCACCACAGCCTTGCACTCACACAGCTAATCACATACTTTATCACTGGCCTCTGATTCCTGGGTGCCTTCACTCTTTCTCTCAGCTTTATTATTATTAGGATTTGTGTGTACATGTTTATCAGCATAGGCTGTGTGTATGTGGGTGCCTGCAGAGGCCAGAGAGGGCATTGGATCCCGTGGAGGAGTTGGAGCTAAAGGCGGTTGTGAGCCATCCAATAATGGTGGCAGTGGGAACTGAACCAGAGTCCTCTGGAAAAGCAGTAGTCAGTCTTCAGTGCTGAACCATCTCAGCAGAGCTCTCCTTCCTGACTCTTAATGAGAATTTTTCTCACCTTCAGTAAATTGCCAACTTATTAATAGACACAGTGTGTCTAGCCTTAGGCGTGGCCTTTGATTCTTTTTATGCCTTGGGAGTATGAGATGGGGTAGACAGAGTCTGTTTTTGATGGTCCTATCTAGTGTTGTAATAGTAGAGGGTTCTTAATGTAAGAAGGAATGGAGATGTTTATAAAAACAATCCTCCCACCAGGCGGTGTTGGCACATGCCTTTAATCCTAGCACTTGGGAGGCAGAGGCAGACGGAACTCTGTGAGTTCGAGGCCCGCCTGGGACAGAGTGAGTTCTAGGAAAGGCACAAAGCTACACAGAAAAACCCTGTCTTGAAAAAACCACCCCCCCCAAAAAAAATCTAATCCTCCCAAATTCTGTCTGTCCACTCAGGTTCCATGTTGGATATCATCAAATACATCGTCAATCGAGGAGAGCACAAGAATGGAGTTCTGGAAGAAGCAATAATCGCAACAATTCTTAAGGAAGTTTTGGAAGGTTTAGATTATCTGCACAGAAACGGCCAGATCCACAGGTAGAATTTCTGTACAGTCTGCTCTTCATAATGTATAGCTCTAGTTTGTAGAGAATTTCAAGGAAGTATTTCCTACAGGTGGGCTTTTGTATTATGCAAAAGTTAACACTTAAAAACAAAACAAACCTCCAAAGAATCAACTTGGATGCATTTCCTTGGTATCCCTGAGGCGGGTTTATGTGGTTAAATTGAAGAAGAGCAAATGTAGTAAGTGCTGTGTGGGCTCATTAAGGAATTAGTTAACATAATTACTGTTGAAGTGAACTTGCTTGAACTGGATGGCATCTCCCTCTGCCTAAGAACGGCAAGACTGTTACATTTTATGTTAACAGTTTGGGGCCTGGTGGTGAGAGGGAAGAGGCAGCCCTGACTTCTTCTGTAATATAGAATGCTAAGCTTTGAAGTGGAGGAGCGGGCGGGATGGGAGTGCCCCACGTTTCGAAAGCAACAGTGTTACTCTGACTCTTAGGAACGTTACAAATAGACAACCATTTACCCTAAAACTAATAACACTGTTCAAGGTGGAGCCGTGAGAGAGCTGTGTATTTAATGATCTGTACCATATTTTTTAATACTTGTTTCTTAATTATCACTTCCTTTAAATATTAAAATTGCTCCACAGAGCTTGATATAGTGAAGAAATATCACATAGAATATTATAATTAACATTTAGCCTTGGTATGGCCCCATAGGAGAGACTGATCAAATTCATTTTAAGTGGGCTGTGGGACTGTTTGGAATTGTGCCACAGGCAACTCTGAAGTACAAGTGGAATACTGAGATAGGATTTAGTTCTTGATAAATATGACAGTCTTGTGCCTTTAGGGTTAATCACTAACTCTGAAACATAAGATAGTCTCTCTCAGTAGTGATTTAATTAAATGCAGATAATGGCTTCACAAAAAAACATTTGTTATTAAAACCCTAACTGTGCCTCAGGAGCAAAGTATAAAATGACAGTATGCACTTACAACTTTTAAAATCTGCGATGTGACTTTAATATCACAATATAATGATTGTGTTGGCCGTGGGCTTGTGTGCTGAATGTTAAAATCTGGAATGAGTCAGTGTAATATATAATCTATGCTTTATAATTCTCTGCTTTTTTTTTCCTAACAGGGATTTGAAGGCTGGTAATATTCTTCTGGGTGAGGATGGTTCGGTCCAGATAGCAGGTAAGCTGTTAAAGATGAACATCCTTCTGTTTACAGGACTGTTACATTGTAAGGAATGGAGGATGGTTTCCACAGAATAGTTGCATGCATTTAAGAGTGTGTCTGGGCTGCTCTGCTATAACAGACCTGCCCTTACAGAATGCTTGCGACTGGAGCCTGGATGAGTAATGGCGAGTTCTCTTGCTAAATAATGCGATTTGAGCACAGAACTTTTTAATAACGATCTGATTATCAGTTTCTACTTGAATAGCTTTCTCTACCTTTTAGATTGAATAAACATATTTATATACCTGCCAGAAAAGTCATTTGGAAAATTGATTTTGATTGAGTTTGAAAATTTAAAACATTATATACATTAGTTAAGAAACCTTTTATTTCCATAGGCTCTTGAGTGAGCGCAACTGGTGAACATGTCCCATGCCTGGCTCCTGTCATTTTCTTGTTTTGAGTTATCAGAGTACCCTGAGAGCCTTGGCATAGAAGGTAGCCACATCCATATTTTCTCTTGTTTTGCCCAGGTCCTTGCAGGTCAGCCCCAGCCACCCTTTCAGCCATCGCCATCTCTCTGTGGCACTGGTTTTGGCTGGATAGTCCTTTCCTGTAGTGGACTGTTCCTGCCATTTCTGAGTGTTCATCTTTTGTCTTGCAGTAACGAAATATTAGCAGCCATCGCTAGTACTATCCTTGGTGAAAATAATTGACATGGCTTCTGTTATTAAGGGTGTTGAAGTTTGTCTCATGCTGGAGAATCAGCTTAATTGGCTTCATTTTGAGTTATCGGAAGAATCGTATGTGTTGGCATAGATCTAGGCATTGAGCATTCCGAATTATTGAACCAAAATCAACCATAGCACTTTATTCTGAACCAAAGTCTGTTTCCAGATAAACTTGAAGAGTTAGTTATTAGAAAGCAGAGAATCCAGGATCTCTAGAGATGGCTCAGAGGTTAAGAGCACTGGCTGCTCTTGCAGAGGACACAGGTTTGGTTTCCAGCATCCACATGGTGGCTTAAATACATCTACAACTGTAGCTCCAGGGATCCCAATGCTTTCTTCTGTCCTCTGTGGGCTCCGTGCACACACGTGGTGTACAGATATACATGCGGGCAAAACATTCACACACATAAGATAAAATAAATACATGAATTCAAAAGAATTGCAAAAGAAATAGAGGAGCTCAGTAGAAAACAAACTCTAATACAGAGGCTAGGCTTTTAAATTTGGGGGTGCTGGAGTCAAATGTGAGGCCTTGTGAATACTAAGCAGATGCTTTACCCTTGAGCTCCATCCTCAGCCTTAAGGCTGCCCCATGGCCATCTCTGTGGACCCTCAGGTGAGACTCTGGAGAGTGGAGCAAGCAGCTGCAGGACCTTGGCCTCTATATTTTCATAAGTAAAGAGCAATTTTTAATTCCTCTTTTAAAGGGGAGAAGACATTTGAAGATGCAAAGGAAGTTTTTGTTTTTCAAATCCCATGTGTTTCCCTTAGAGAAGGGATAATGGAAGTGATTATCTTGGAGAAGGTAGATTTGGTCAACTATGGTTGGTTTAAGGCATTGGAAGCAACTTTGTGTATTGCTTAAGGCCAGAGGCTTTGGGGTCCTGATTGACAGACATCCGCTGTGTGTCTTCCTTAGGCCGTGTTGTTGTGTCTTTTAGCCTCACTTTCCCCATCGAGACAGGGTGAGGATGCTTGCTGTGCAGACTGTTTTCCTCTGTAGCCACTGCACCTTAAGACCCAGGCTTTTGGGACTGGAGAGATGGGTCAGTGGTTAAGAGCGCTAGGTGCTCTCCTAGAGGACTGCTGTTTGATTCCTAGCACCTGCATGGTGGCTTCCAGCTATGGGGTCTAATGCCCTCTTCTGGCCTCCATGGGCACCAGGCACACATAGACATACATGCAAGCAAAATACTCAGACACATAAAGTGAAATACTAACAATAAAAAGACTGACTCAGGTGTGTATGAGTTCAGTAGACTCTGAGAACCACACAGTGTTCTGTGGGGACAAAGGAGCCATTTTATGGCTGGATTTTTTTCCATGTAAACACTTCTGTTAAAACTGTCTGAAAGGATTCTAGAAAATAGGGGCTAGCATCTTTATGACTCCAAAGAATGAGTGAATTAATTAATTTTAAACTGTGTGTGTGTGTGTGTGTGTGTGTGTGTGTGTGTGTGCGCGCGCGCGTTCACGGCACTATATATACATGTGTGGAAGTCGGGGGACAGCTGGGTGGAGTTGGTTCTCTTCTTCCACCTTTACAGGATTTCTGGAGATCCAATTTGGGATGCCAGGTTTGCAGGGCACACAGCTTTACTCATGGAAGCATCTTGCTGGTCCTGATACACATTTCCTTTCACTGTAAAGAGATATATTTGTACAGAAATTTTGCATTCATAATTTACATTGCCTATTGATAGTGTTCAAGTTATGTAAGTTTCTTGTTCCATTAAACATGAACCTACCCCTGCATGTAGGGCTGTAGTATATATTATAAACATACATATTCACATACATACATATATATGTGAACACACGCACAAACGTGTATATATGTATGAAATGCTTAGAACAGCCAATAAGATGGACAGTGGACAAAAACAGTCTAATGAGCTCACGGGCAATAAAGGAAAAAAATGCTCAGTGTCACAACTAGAGAAATTCAGCTTAAAGCCATATTGAGATACTTATACCACAAAGCCAAAGGTCAATCCATTGTTGGTAGCAGTACGAAGAGTTACATCCACAGTGGAGAGGAATCTGGTACTGTCTCACATCTACAAGTGCGGTTTACCTTTGTCTCTGCAACCAAGCGAGGTGCGAGGAGGCAGCTTATAGGAGCCGCTCACTCACATCTCTGTCCCACTCCGCAATCAGTGACACCATGTTGACTGCTTCTGGTCAGCCATGGTGGGGGGCTGTGCATCTCTGGAGTCTGCAGCATGACTTTCTAAGAAGGAGTTACTAAGCATTTATTAGCACAATTATGGCTCTGCTAGGAATCTGCCCTCCAGCTATCCCCATGTATGTTTGGAATGTTAGAGGCCTTGGTTTATTTGTTGGAGATTTTTTTTGGAAGAGGGTGTAGCCTAAGCTTGAACTTGTGACAATCGGGCTTCCCCTGCCTCCCAAGTACTGGGATTATAGGCATGTACCACTGTGCCCAGATAATCTGATGGGAGTATTTGTTTGTGAAAGCAAAATATGAGATGCAATCTGGTGTCTTAAGTATAGTATACACAGTATATCCATAATATGGAATACCCATTCACTCATAAGGAGAAGGAAAAACTCAGTATTGGTTAAGTGAATAAATCAAGGTGACAGACAGTATTGCCTTTTGTGAAGGAAGTGGGGAAAACTGAGAGGATCACTCTGACTTTGTGCATAGATACAAGGAGTTTAGTCACACAGGAGCTCGACTATTCATATTGCCCTTTTAACTCTTGAAGTTTGAACCGTATAAGGTGTGGCTGACCTTATAAAGCCAATGCAGTGGTTTAGGAAACTCGATAATATTCTGCCAATAAAGTGAAAACTGAAATTTTCAGTCACGTGTGTGTGTGTGTGTGTGTGTGTGTGTGTGTGTGTGTGTGTGTGTGTCTCCTTGGGTGTAGTTCCTCAGGCACTGTCCGCTTTGGTTTGTTGGTTTGTTTTGGTTTGGTTTTTTGACAAGAATTCTCATTTGCCTGGCATTCACCAAGTATGCTAGGCTGGGTGGCCAGTAAGTCTCAGGAACCCGCCTTTCCCTGCCTCCTCTACGCTGGGTTATGAGCAGTGTGTCCAGCACACTTGCCTTTTTAACCTGGGTTCTAGGATCCAACTCAGGTCCTCATGCTTGTTGGGCAGGCATTTCTACCAACTAAACTGTCTCCTGAGCCCCCATTAGCAGAATTTTTATTACAAAAAGTTTCAAATGTCCGCAGTGGTGGGAATGAGCCTTCTTGCATGCTTCGCTTAGCTCCAGTACCTGTCGGGCTTTCACTGGTCATTCTCTGTCTATCCTTTCTCCCTCTGATGTGGGGCCTTTTATTCTTTCTGTGGAATTTTGTTCTTCTGGCATCTGAGTTAGCAGCTTCTGTATGTACACTTTGTCAGCCCTTAGGAAGAGTGGTGTTCCTGGGGTCAATCTGGAAAACTGCTTCAGCTCAGGAAGTGACAGGCAAAATAAATGTGCCCCCAAACCTGAAACTGCCCCGCCCCAAGCAGTCTCCTTGTTGAGTGCGGACTATCAGCTGGTTCAAAATTTCCAGGCCATCGCTCAGTAGCTCTGTGAGGTTGGATAAGTTGTCAAGCCTCATTGAGAGTCATTTCCTTTAAAAGGGATTAAGCAATATTGCCTTTAACAGTGCGGGCATGCGGGAGGTACCCTAGAGCTGTCAGGAGATGCTGCTCTGCTGCTGTTGCTATGGTTATTAGTGTCACTGCCATTCCTAGCATTACTGCCACCAGCAGGACCACACTTGACCTGTCTGGAAGTCATGTAGACCTCAGATTTGTCTTGCAAGAGATACTGCTGTGCGAGAATTTATGAGTTACAAGAAGGTAAGCTTGTCTCATATCTCATATAGAATTTGGAAGAAAACTGGTCATTAATCTTTAGTTAACGCTGATAGGGAAGTACAAGTAACTTTCTTTGTTTGGGGATGAAACAGTCCCCCTCAACGTGAGGGTCAAAATAGCAGTCAGTTGTCTTTGAAATCCAAAGACAGGTCAACTCCTGCTTTATTCTGCCACTTGGTACCCTGCCAGTCACCCCATCTCATTATTCTTGTCAGATTAATGATCTGAGCTCTTTCCTGGGTGTCTGGAACACACTGTCCTTTTCTTTCTCTCACTTGGGATCCTCTGAGGTGAGGTTCCTTGCACATTTTTTTTTTCTGTCCCAGACCTTAAGGTTCCTCTTTCCCTACCATGAGGGGAATGCTGTGGCTCTGGGGTCCCTGGGTTCATGAGGAACCCCTGCAGAAAGATCCTGCATTTGGCGTGAGGATCAGCTGG